CCCCCGTGCCTTGGTTTTTTTTTTTTTTTTTTTAATGACTCAGTGAGTTTCATTAGAGTTGCTTGTGGGATCAGTGAGGAACATCTATTATTTTGAAGGGAATGAGAAGGATCTATGTAAGTGGATTTGTTATTGTTAGATTTGATCTTGCTGTGTTGCCAGGCTGGCTCAAGTGATCCTCTTCAGCTCCTAAGTAGCTGGGATTATATCTCCTTACCACTGCACCAAGTTTAAAGGATTGGTGTGTGTGTGTCCGTGTGTGCACACCTTGTGTGTGTGTGTGTGTATTTTTTTTTCCTTTTTTTTTCTTTTTGTGTCTTTTTTGAGACAGGGTCTCCCTATAGCCCCAGCTGGCCTGGAACTCACTATGTAGACCAGGCTGGCCTTGAACTCACAGAGATCTGCCTGCCTCTGCCTCCTGAGTGCTGGGATTAAAGGCGTGCGCCACCACGGATATATTTTAACATTCACATTTCTAGAGTGCTAAGATACAGGTCTATTGCTAAATAGACAGCAAAGTAATTGTTAAATGTGTTCTTTCTAACAGGTGACAGAGTTAGTTCTTGATAATTGCTTGTGTGTCAATGGAGAAATTGAAGGTCTGAATGATACTTTCAAAGAACTTGAGTTTCTAAGTATGGCTAATGTGGAATTAAGTTCACTGGCCCGGCTTCCCAGCTTAAATAAACTTCGAAAGGTAAGTTGGGATTAGTATGCAAATATCATCATGGTTTTAATGCCATGTTCTTAGTCAAATGACATGCCCACTCCCCCTGTTAACTAGAAATTTCCAAGTTTCTAGAGGTAAGAAAAAGGGTTGTAGGATTTTGGAATCAGTTCTAATATTGCTTAGATATTTAGATTTTCCGGGGGCTGGAGAGATGGCTCTGCGGTTAAGAACACTGACTGTTCTTGCAGAAGACCCAGGTTCGAATCCCAGCACCCACATGACCCACATGGTAGCTAACAACTGTCCATAACTCTAGTTCCAGGGGATCCAACAGCCAATCTTCTGTCCTCTGAGGGCATTGCAAGACATGGGTGCACTTACCTATATGCAGGCATTACATGCACACACATAAAATTTTAAAAAATTTAAAAAAAAATTTAGATTTTCCTGTGTGTGATGGTGCATGCCTTTTAATCTCAGCATGCAGAAGGCAGAGACAGGAGGATCTCTGTGAGTTCCAGGCCAGCCAGGGCTACATAGTGAGACCCTGTCTCAAAGGAAAAAAAAAGAAGAAAAAAATTTAAATTCATGAGAATTGTTTTATGGCACAAATTTGGGTTTAATATCCATCGGTTTTTCCTCCATGAATCATAAAATCCATACACAGTGCATCCTGAAGCACAGCTGAGTTTAGAAACCCATTACATAGGGTTTGAGTATATTTGGCAGATACAGGTAGAAATCTGTGATTTGTCGTGAGTAAAGTCAGAGAGTGACAAATGCTTTTCTTCAAATTGTATGCTTTTAATGATTCTAAGACTTCAATAGTCTTTGTTTTCTCCCCATGTTGAATATATAGTTGGAACTTAGTGATAACATAATTTCTGGAGGCTTGGAAGTCCTGGCAGAGAAATGTCCAAATCTTACCTACCTCAATCTGAGTGGAAACAAAATCAAAGATCTCAGTACAGTAGAAGCTCTGGTAAGTGGAAGGATTTTTGTTTCTGGACTTGCTTTTCTGTTTTAATTTTTCTAAGATTTGTTCATTTTTAAAAAAATATTTTTATTTCATGTGTATGTGTGTATTGCCTGCATGCCTGTAAGTACACCCATGTTGTATAGTGCCTTCAGAGGTAAGAAGAGAGCATTTGAGCCCCTGGAACTGGAGTTATAGACAATTGTTAGCTGCCATGTGGGTGCTGGGAACTGAACTTGGGCCCTCTGCAAGAGTAGCCAGTGCTCTTAACCACTGAGCCATCTCTCCAGCCTGATATGTTCATGTTTTATCTAATTTCTATTTAACTTTTGAAATTTCTGAATTTTTTTGGGGGGGGCTTTTTGAGACAGGGTCTACCTGTAGCCCCATCTGGCCCAGAACATGCTATGTAGACCAGGCTGGCCTTGAACTCACAAAGATCCACGTGCCTCTGCTTCCCAGTGCTGGGATCAAAGGCGTGCACCACCATGCCTGGCCCGCAATTTCTGAATTTTTAAAAAAATATATTGTGATCCAGATAGGTACTTGCTTTTCTTTTCTAACCAGGTGTGGAACTTAGTATTTAGGAGGCAGAGGCAGGGCTATTGTGAGTTAGAACCTAGTCCAGGATCCAGAATGAGACTCTGACTTTAAAACAAAAAATTGAGCTGGGTGTGGTGGCACATGCGTTTAATCCCAGCACTTGGGAGGCAGGGGCAGGCGGATCTCTGTGAGTTTGAGGCCAGCCTGGTCTACATAGCAAGTCAGCTGAGGCTACAGGGAGACCCTGTCTCAAAAAGAGCAAAAAAAAAAAAAAAAAAAAAAAAAAAAAAAAAGTGTTTATTGCATGTGCATGCACACACACTCCCAATAAATCAAATAAATAGTTGTAAAAAAGGATGAATTTTTTAAATTAAAAAATTAAAAACATTTTCTTTCATTTTGTGTATGAGTGTATTACCTGCATGTGTATATGTGCACCCATGTTGTGCAGTGCCACAGAGGTCAGAAGAGGGTGTTTGATTCCCCCTGGAACTGGAGTTATTGTCCAGTTGTTGGCCATCATGTGGATGCTAGGAACTGAACCCAGTCCTCTGCAAGAGCACTCAGTGCTCTTAAGCACTGAGCCATCTCTTCAGCCCATTAAAATTTTTTAAATTTATTTTTTATTTTATGTGTATGAGTGTTTGCCTGCATGTATGTAAGTGTACCCATGTCCTGCAATGCCTATGGAGGCCAGAAGCGGGCATTGAATCTCTTGGAACTAGCATTATGGATGGTAATGCCAACAGGAGACCTTGTCTAAAAACACAAACAAAACACAAGTTTACAGTACTTTTTAACCTTTTGTTTTTCTTCTTAATTTTGACTTATTATGTGTTTATTTTCTGATGAATATGAAGGAAAAGGTGAATTAGGTAAAACTGGAGATTATTTTTCAGGTTTAAAATTTTTTTAAAAGTTATTTATGTATGTGCTTACATGTGGTTGTGCGGGTAAGAAAGTCAGAGGACAACTTGCTGGAAGGAGATGTTTTTTTTCTTTTCTTTAATTATATAGGCAAGTCCCAGAGATTGAACTCTGGTTGTCAGGTTTGGTAGCTAGTTCCTTTACCTGCTGAGCTCTTTTACCAGCCCGTTGCCTAGGCTTTTAAAAAAAGATGGGACTTGGTGTGATGGTCCCTACTTGTTAATCTGAGCACTTGGGAGGCTAAACCAGGAAGATTGAGAGTTCAAGGCCAACTTGGGCTACATAGTGAGAGCCTGCTCTTTCTTCAGAAATGAAAATGAAAACAAATTGGGAGATTAAAACTGTTGAAAGTAAGTTTCAGTCTTTTTTTGTTTTGTTTTTTGAGACAAGATCTCCCTGTTGCCCCAGCTGGCCTGGAACTCACTATGTAGACCAGGCTGGCCTTGAACTCACAGAGGTCCACCTGCCTCTGCCTTCCGAGTGCTGGGACTAGAGGTGTGCACCACCACACCTGGCGTAAGTTTGAGTCTGAACTAAAGTTGGCTGTTACATTGTTGCCTCAGCTTTGGATTATTTTTTCTTTAACTCATTTTTATTTATTTTTAAATTTTTGTTATTCCAAAGAGAGGCAATTTTTAACACATTTTTCTAGAAATGACTTGAAGCAGGTTACATAAAAATTTATGTACAATGAAGTTTAAGGGAGGCAAAATAGGAGTAAGAAGTCAAAGACCAAAAGATTTGCCAACACGGGGTCAACTTTGGTAGAATAATGAAGGTTTCCATTAGCTCTGTTCTTTTTTTTGAAAATTCTAATGAGTTTATTGGGCTTGCTAACAGCATAGGGTGGGGGTTTATTTACAGAAGAGTGGTTGCACCTCCATTTATGGCTGTGCTGGAAAGTTTGCACTCAAATATAGATCCTGTGGCTTCCTGACAGCAGCTTTTGATTAAAAAAATATATTTATTATTTTATTATATATATTATTTATTCTTTATATTATTTATTATATATTATTTTTATTTTATGTTTTATTATTTTTATGTGTTTGCATGTTATGTCTGCATGGCTGTAAGTGCACCTGTGTCATGCAATGTTCACAAATGTCAGAAGAGGGCGCCAGATACTCTGGAATTGGAGTTACAGGTGGTTGTTATCTGCCATGTGGTTGCTGGGAACCAAACCCAGGTCCTCTGCAAGAGCAGTCAGCTAGTGTTCTTAACTGCTGAGCCATCTCTTTAATCCCCAGCTTTTGATTTTTTGAGATGTGTGGTCTTTGTAGCTGAGGCTGGCCTCCTACTCTCATCCTCTTGCCTCAGCCTCCAATGTGCTGCGATTACAAGTTTATGCCACCACACCTGGTGTGCTGTTGCCTATTTCTGCACTGACTCAGTCGGCAAAAATGTCGCAAATGTCTGCTAGAAATGAGGCTGTGGAGTGAGTGCTGGAGATGCAGAAATGAGGCTGCAGGATGGGTACTGGAGATGCAGCAGTGAACAAAACGAAGTTCCTGCTCAGCAGTGAAGTGAGCGGCTGGCAGTTTGATGGAGTGACCCCTCACAATTCTAAGATATACAGGCTTTCCCTCAGTTTCAAGTATATGTTTTCTGGATCTTGCATTAGAAATGAAGAACATGGTATTAAAAAATCTTGACTGAAACTTTTAACTTTACTCTTTCAGCAAAATCTTAAAAATTTGAAAAGTCTTGACCTGTTTAACTGTGAGATCACAAATCTGGAAGATTACAGAGAAAGTATTTTTGAACTGCTGCAGCAAATCACATACTTAGATGGATTTGATCAGGAGGATAACGAAGCACCAGACTCGGAAGAAGAGGATGATGAGGGTAATTATTCTTAATGCTCAGAAATATATCATAATGATATAGCTTCTACTCCATCTACAAATTCTAACAGGCCTGGAGAGATGTGAAAAGCACACACACTTGCACATACACAAACACAGGTGTTAGTAAGATAAGAATCATTAAAAAATCTGTGACTATAGCCTTTATATCTTTCAGATTTCTTTTTTATAAATTTTATTTATTTTTATCTTATGTGTATGCATGTATTGCCTGCATGTAGGTAACACTTTATTGTGCAATGCCTGCAGAAGACAGAGGGGCTGTCAGATCCCCTGGAACTGGAGTTACAGACAGCTTCTGCAAGAACAACCAATGTTCTTAACTGCTGAGCCATCTCTCCAGCCCCAGATTTCTTTATTTTTTAAAAGGTTTATTTATTTATTTATTTATTTATTTATTTATTTATTTATTTATTTATTTATTTATTTGTTTGTTTTTTGAGAAGAGTCTCCTTGTAGCCCTAGCTGGCCTAGAACTCACTATGTACACCCAGGCTGGCCTAGGACTCACAAAGATTCACCTGCCTCTGCCTCCTGAGTGCTAGGACTAAAGATGTGTGCTACCATATCCGGCCTTCTTTCATATTTCTAATAATTTCAGGGAATTTAATGATTATAGTGCTAAGAAGTTCTGTGAACTTTATATCTATTTTAACTCATGTAACTGTCCAGTAATAGTGGCAACTGCCTAATAATACTTAAAAAAAAGAAAGAACCATTCATAATAGCCTCAAAGTAGAAACAACTCAAGTGTTCCTCTTTTGATGAACAGTTTAAAAAATATGATCTATTCAATGTAGTGTTTTGTCATAAAAGTGAACGATGAACCGCTACATGCTGTGGGAATGAATCTTGAAAATGTGCTCTGTTCAGTGAAAGAAGCCAGTTAAAAAGCTGCATACTATTTGGTTTTATTTATATGAGCAGCCCAGGATAGGCATAACCATCGACAGAAAATAGGTTAGTGATTGGGTGGGGCAGAGGTGAGGGATGAAGGGGAGCACCTTCTGATGTGTGTGAAGTTTCTTTTTGAGCTTGTGAAAAAAAAAAAAACTGTCAGGATTAGAGAGTGACTATACATGCTTAGATAAATGGAAGACTAATGGATCAGATGGCACTGCCTGCTACTATCAGGTGACGTTTTTCACTGTTAACACTTATGCAACAATAGAAAGGTGGACAAGCAAGTATTTTTCAAAAAGTAAAACCAACTTCAATGTGTATAATGCTTGGAAATCTATACAATGAATAAACATCTGCGTTTAGAACAGGTGCTTGTACTTTGCTGAGGAAGTAATAAGTAGCAGTGCTATAAAACAGAATTCTTGGGGTAGGGGAGGACCCTGGGATACTTAGCACTTGTTGGCTTAAGATTTTGTTGTTTTTGTTTTGTTGTGTTGGTTTTTTTTGAAATAGGGTCTCACTGTATAGCCTTGGCTAGACTGGAACTATGTAGAACAGGTTGTTCTCAAACTCAGAGACTTACCTGCTTCTGCCTCCCAAGTGCTGGTATTAAAGGTGTACCTACTATGCTTGGGCAGGGTTAAGAAGGTCAGCCCACATACTAGTAAGAAACATTTACCCAAGTATTTGTTCATCTTAAAATATTTTTTAAAGATGGAGAAGATGAGGAAGATGAGGAAGAAGATGAAGCTGGTCCACTGGAAGGATTTGAAGAGGAGGAAGAGGAAGATGAGGAGGAGGATGAAGATGAAGCAGGCTCAGAGGGAGGAGAGGGAGAAGAGGAAGTAGGCCTCTCATACTTAATGAAAGAAGAAATTCAGGTATAGATACTTTACATTTGCACTGAAAATTATTTACGCATAGGACTAAGCACTATAAAATGTGAGTTGTGTAGAAATCTGAGTTGCTTCCTCACTTGTGAATATGCATGTGTGTATCTGCTGATCTTTTCTGAGTGCCTCCAACTGGATGTCCTGTACTGTATCCAGAGAGCCATACACACCTGTTGATTTTTAGCTCCTGGATGTTCTTCAAATCGGTTCTGCCTTCAGTGTTATTATTATGGAAACATTTTATGAATGTCTGTTTCTGCATTTATAAAAGCAAGAGTATACCAACCTTACTGGATATTTTAAGGATTTAACAAGATAATATATGTAAAGTATCTTACCTAGTCCCTGACTGACACATTGTGGACACTCAAGAGAACTGAGATTTCCTCCTTCCAGTCATCTCCTACTTTATATTCTTGCAGTAGCTTTCTAAATGGTCTCTGCTTCTATCACTGCTTAGGAATACCCTCAGTGCTGCTGCCTGTGTAGTGGAATGCAAATATGCTCATAGTACTTGGCTTCTTGAAGCCCTTTCATGTTTCCCTGTTGCCACACAGTGCCCTTCATTATCTACATGTCCACGACGCTGACTTATTCCTTGCCTCATCTCCCTCAGTATCAAGTGTCACAGTCAGCTGTTGCTTGCCTTCACGTTGGCATGCACACTGTTCACTCTTAGTGGAAGCTGCTTTCTTCCTATGCTCTCTTACAACTTTTTTTCTGTTTGTGCTATGACACATGTAAAGTGCACTAATTTTATGTAGACCTCTGAAACTTTACATATGGATACATTTGTGTAACCACTATACATGTGTAATCATGCCTTGTGATCTCTTTTTTTTTAAACTTTAATTTTGGGGGCTGGAGAGATGGCTCAGCAGTTAAGAACACTGGCTGTTCTTGTAGAAGACCTGGGCTCAAATCCCAGCACCCACATGGCAGCTAACAACTGTCTGTAACTCCAGTTTCAGGGGATCCAACACCCTCTTCTGTCCTCTGTGGGTATTGTACAACACGGGTGCTTTTGCATCCATGCAGGCAATGCACACATAGACATAAAATAAAAATAATAAATAAAATATTAAAAAATCTTTAATTTTTAAATTTTTTGTTTTTTTTTGAGATGGTCTCCCTATAGCTCTAGTGGCCTGGAACTCACAGAGACCTGCCTGTCTCTGCCTTCCTAGTTCCGGCTCCTTTGTGATCTCTTAAAAATTTTTAAAATTAATTGAGTATTATTATTAGTGTGTGCATGTATTTGAAGTGTGTGGAGGTCAGAAAACAACTTTGTGAAGTTGGTTCTCTCCTTTCATCTTTACATGAGTTCTGGGAATTGAACTCAGGTTGTCAGGTTTGTGGCAAATGCTTTACCAGCTGAGCCATCTCATTGGCTCATGCCTTGTAAATTCTTTTTTAAAAATTTTTAATGTGTATGCATGTATTGCCTGCCTGTAGGTAAGTGCACCTGTGTCATACAATGCCCGAGGAGGACAGAAGAGGCCGTCGGATCCCCTGCAACTGGAGTTACGGAGAGTTGTTAGCTGCTATGTAGGTCCTGGGATTCGAACCCGGGTCTTCTGCAAGAAAAAAACAGTGTTCTTAATCATTGAGCCATCTCTCCAGCCCTGCCTGTGAACTCTTATCCTTAAATTCAGCCCTGGAGTTACCTCCTTATTGACATTATCTATTATTTATTTATTTATTATTTATTTTTATTTTATGTGTATGGCTGTTATGCCTGCATGTGTGTAAGAACACCCCTATGCAATGCCCAAAGAAGACAGAAGAGGGTGTCAGATCCCCTGGAACTGGGATCATGGATGGGTGTTAGCTGCCATGTGGGTGCTGGGATTTGAATCTGGGTCTTCTACAATAACAGTCTGTGTTCTTAACCGTTTGAGCCATCTCTCCAGCCCAGGCATTTTCTATAATTTTTTAAGATAATCTGTCCTTCCTCTGTTATACCTTTTTTTTTTTTAAACTGAGATAGGGTCTCACTCTGTAACCCAGACTGTCCTTGAACTTGTGGCAATCCAACTACCTTAGCCTTCTGTGTGTTGGGATTATAGACCTGAGCCACCATACCAAGCTTTCTCTGCTGCCTTTAAACCTTGATTAGGCTTCTGTTACCTGTGGGTGGTTTTGTACAAACTTAAGTGACTGCTTTTTAGGTGACGAGCTCTTTACATGGAGGGGCCATTAATATTTGCACCTAGTATCTAGTACAGTGAAGGGCACCTAGAATAGATGATCTTTAGCTCCTGTGAAGTTAGAGAAGATATTTTTCCTAATGTCAAATCGAAGTTTATTTTCTTTATTTTTGAGATAGGGTCTCCCTATATCCCCTGGTGGCTTGGAACTTGTTATGTAGACCAGGCTGGCCTCTAACTCACAGAGATTCACCTGCCTCTGCCTCCTGAGTGCTGGGATTTAAGGTGTGTACCACCACACCCAACAAGGTTTATTTTCATAATGCATAATTTAAAATAATAGTTTCTTTTAAAAATATTTCAAGACTGGGGACATAGCTCAGTGATGGAACACTTGTCTGACAAGTGCAAGGCCTTGGGTTCAATCCTCAGTACTACACATGCATGCATACATACAGATGTAGAAAAATAGACACATGGATATGTGCATACATATACACAAATCTCTTAGACCAGTTGTTGTTTTCCTAGTTACTTTTATATTGGTTAGGTAAATAATGTCTGAACAATGATAGTTTTTTTTTTTCCTGATTCTATTTTAAATGTGAAATGTGTACAGAAATACAGATAGACTTGTTTGGGGCCTTAGTGAATCAGAAACTAGACTATAATGAAGAACAGAAATTTTAAAGTATTTATAGAGAAAGCCTATTTAGTTTATACGACTTTCTCTCTTACATTGGTATTTATTTAGTAAAATAAGAATCTTATGGAGTTTCTTTGTTTTTTGTATTTGGTGTTTTATTTACCTCTTCCAATAATTCTTCCTTAAATTTAAGTAGTAATTAGTTTAAAAGTTACATTTTGGGGGGTAGGGATTGAGACAAGGGTTTTATTCAGTAGCCTAGGCTGGCCTTAGACTCATACTCCAGGCTGGTATTGAATTTGGGGTAGTCCTGTTATCTCAGCCTCCTGAATGCTGGGATTATACAGATAGGCACCACTGTTCCTGCTTTGAAGTTACTTTGAATTAACTATAAAATGACTTATCATTTAAGTTTATCATTCTGTTGAATATTGGGAAATATTAACAGCAAAAATTTCTGAAATGCATACAACATTAAGTTAGTGTAGGGGTAACAGGGGCCAGAAAGTATCTTCATTCTGAATGAGATAGCTTGGGTATTCAGAATGAAATCTTGGGTGTAGTGACTCATGCCTATGATCCCAGTACTCTGTGAGACAGGAGGATCACAAGAGCTCAGAGATACCTTAGGCTACCTAGTGAGTTCCAGGAGAGCCTGAGCTACATAGTAACCTTGTCTCAAAACAAAAAACAAACAAACCAAGAGGCCTTGTTTTTAGGATATAAGTGCCAGGGAAACTTTAGAGACTACTGATATATAAAAGGAAATCAGAATGAATTAGCATGTTTGATTATGCATTTTATTTTTGCCTTTTTGAAACACAGTCTTATGTAGCACAGGTTGCCCTGGAACTCATGGTCCTCTTGTCTTAGCCTTACAAGTGCTGGGATTCCAGGTATTTATCACCTCACTGACTTTATAGTGCTGGTGATCTAACCCAGGGCTTCACGTATGCTAGGCAAGCAAGCACTCTACCAACTGAGCTATAGCTGGGTTTTTGTTTGTTTGCTTGTTTGGGGTGGTTTTTTTCCTCTTATATTCCTATTTTAGCTGTTCTGAGGCAAGGAATTAATATGTATAAAAGGACTTTATTTAGGAAGATTGGGGATTATGCCCTTGTTCTATTCATACACAAATCAAGAACCATTTCCCACTAATAAGGTAAAGACTAATCTTTTTGTTTATTGATTGATTTTTGTTTTATGTGTATGAGTATTTTACCTGCATGTATGTAAGTGTACCTGTATTATGCAGTGCCTGAAGAGATTAGAAGAGGGAATTTGGTTGTTAGCCACCATGTGGGTGCTGAGAGCTGAACCCAGGTCCTCTGTAAGAGCAGCTGGCAAAAGCTAAGGTTTTATTGAGAGATACTATCCAAATGATGATTTTTTTTTTTTTTTTTTTTTTTTTTTTTTTTTTTAAAAGGGGGGGGCAAAACGGTGTGACTTTTAGTGTAGGCTTGAGACCAGGCTGGCCTTGAACTCACGGAGATCTGCCTGCCTCTGCCTCCCGAGGGCTGGGATTAAAGGCGCACATCACCACACCTGGCTAAATGATGATTAAAAAAAAAAATTTATTTTCATGTGTATGAGTGTATTGCCTGAATGTATGTGCGTGCACCAGTGTTGTGCAATGCCTTAGAGGTCAGAAGAGGGCTTCAGATTCCCTTGGAACATTTAAGGACAGTTCATAGCTGCATGTGGGGGCTGGAAATCGAACCTGGGTCCTCTGCAAGAGCAGTCAGTAGCCCCAGATGACCTGGAACTCTCTAGGTAGGCCAGGCTGGCCTCTGCCTCCCAAGTGTTGGGATTAAAGGTGTGCACCACCACACCTGGCTATCTATACACATGCTCTCTTGGGTGCACATATACAGAAAAAGTGATAATAATGGGCCATGGTAGTACATGCCTATAAGCTGTAATCCCAGTGTTTGGGAGGCAGAAGCAGGAGGATGGTAAATTCATGGTCATCTTGAGCTGTGTAGTGAGCTAGAAACCAGACTGGGCAACATAATTAGACCCTGTCTTCAAAACAACAACAACAAAAAAAGTGATTATGGCCCAGCGAGATGAGAGGTAAAGGCACAGAAGAGCAAATGGTTGGCCTTCTTGATGTAGAGCCGTATTGCACAGTGGAAGAATGGTTGTATTTTGTTAATGTTCTGGTCACGAGGGGTAGATTGTAGGACCCC